AGGGTGGGGCCCCAAGCCCCAAAGAATAAAAATAAAATTACCCTAACAAAAAAAAAGTTCCCTCATCCTAACCCTGCGGCCACAGCGGCTGTTCTTTGGCAGGAAGCCCTGGAGGAAGCTGGTCAGTTTGTGTTTCCAACTGCACGAGAAAAGGTCTGGCAGGAGACACAGGAAAACGCTGACACTGCGAGTCCCGCGCAGACCAGGGTCCCTCTGGGGTGGCAGAGGGTGGGCGTAGGTGCGACGGGTGAACCCCTCCGGCGCTGGTGAAATAATTTTTCTCTTAAATTTTTCTCCTTCGGGGGAGCAGGGGGAAGCGGGCTCCTGAGTTCGGCTCATACTCAGCCGAGTTGCTGCAGCCAAACACTGGCTGGAGATGCAGGGAGCAGGGCGTGGGCTGGCGCTGAAGGGTTGGGGGCTGGGGGCAGCTCAGGAGGCAGGAGGGTCAGCTCACTCAAGAAATAAGGGACCCTGGGGTCTGCCTGGTTCGTTAAGGGCTGCAGAGACCCCCCTGCTCCCTCCTTCTCTCTGGCTGCTGCTATCCCCACAGAAGGGCGCCAGGCCCCCCTCCCCACCCCAGGCCTTCCAGGGGAGAACGCCCCGGTTCTGCGGGTCACAAAGGCGCCGGTTCCAAGCGTGCGGGGCGCGGGCTGGAGGCACTGGGCTACCCGGCCCTCGCCCTGCGGTCTGCAGGGACCCAGGTTCGGGTGAGTGACCCCGCCCGGCGGCGCGCCTGCTGCCCCCGAGCTCCCCCTGCTGGCCAAGGGCAGAACCGCGGGCGCCGGCCCCCGAAGCTCCCGGCTAGTAAGTATCGATTCAACTGTTACATTGTGTTCACTGTAACAGTTTCAACGACCCCGGAAGTCCTGCCAATCCCCCCCCCCCCCGCCAGCCCATCATCACCCCCGGTTTTTAAAAACGTGTGTCCCTGCACCTGTGCGTGACCAGTGGCGGAAGCATCGGTTCAAACTTGTACACGTGGGCCCTGCTCAACCCCACCCCTCCCCCCTCCCCCTCCCCCTCCCCCGGCCCCCCCGCCCCCCGCCCCCCGCCCCCGCAGGGACGCTTCCTGCGGATTGCTAGAATCCTTCAGCGCTGGCAAGAGCTTTTCTCCGCTCCCGGGCGAGCGAGCAGAGACTCCTGCAGCCCGACAGTGACTTCACCCAGGCCCTTGGGGCGGGGGCTGGGGGGGGGGGGAGGGGGGGGGAGGGGGACGGGCGGAATAGCGCCAGCGCCAGGCTGAGCCCCTGCCCGCCTGCTGCCCTGGGCGCTGTACCCGCCACAAATGGGCAGCTTTGCCGTTCCTCCCGGAATTGCCTTCTGGGGTCCCTGCTGCCTGTGGACAGGTCAGGAAGTGTGGGGTGTCGGGGTGGCTTGTAGCAGTAGGGGATTGGTGCTGGGGGTGCTCCCGCGGGGAGTTTGCACCTGATCAGGGCTCATTTGTCCACCTCTTTGGTGGCAAAGCAGTGACCCCGGGGTTGGCAGGCTGGGTTGAGCACACACTTGGTTGTGGTGCCCCGGAGTTCACACACTGGCATTGGGGGCGGGGGTGATTGGGAGGTCAAATAGCAGCTCCTGGGGTCCCACTGTGCATATGGACTGGGGCTGGAGGTTGAATGTGCATGTGTGGCCTCCTGTCCGCAAGGCAGAGCGACCCCCTCCCTCCCAGCCCTGACCCCCACAGTCCCACCGGGTGCTAGGCAGAAAGGAAGGTGGAATGAGGCACTCTGGGCCAGTGTGAGACCCTCAATGGCAGAGGGCCAGCGGACAGGACAAGGGCAGGGAGCAGGGAGAGGACGTAACAACCAGGAGAAAAGAGTGGGTCACTTCTAGAGGGCCTGGCCCACAGGGAAAGGCTGTGTTCAGCATATGGCGGCCAGAGAGAGCCAGTGTCCCTGGGAATTCTGTGGCGTGTGGTTGTGTTAACAGAGACATACGCACGACCTCTGGTGCTGGGAAAGCGCTCCAGCAGCCAATGAAGGCAGAGGACTGTTGAGCAATAGCTGAGACCTTCGTTCCTGAGCCAGAGAGCTGCTGGTCAGGTGCTTGCCTGGCACGAGATCCTCACCCCCCGTCCCCACCCCGGTTCAATCCCTCGCGCCTGGGTACTGTTAGCAGTGACCCCTGAGCACTGCCGGGAGTTCCCTGAACACCCCCCACCCCCTAAAAAAGGAAAGGAAAAAAATCCAAATTTCCAAACAAGCTACATCCATCAGCACCCATTCGACAAATGCTGGAGGAAAGCCAGATTTATGATGCTACGGGAGCCGGTGTGGAACGGGGCAGGAGAAGCAACTTAGAGGGTTGGACTCTGTCCTCGACCTGCAGCAACTGTGGGCCCAGCTCACTGCGTGCCCGGTGCCTCAAGTATTGTCAGGAGTGGCCCTGCCCTCCACAAATAGCCCCTCTATCTAGTAACCTTTGCCGAGGGGGTGTGGGAACACCCCCATTCTACAGCTGGAGAAACTGAGACCCAGGGAGGGAGAAATCACACTGTCCACAAACGGCTGCTAGACTCAGGTTTTGCTGTTTTAAAGGTGCATGACAGAATCCCAGAGCCTAGGGGAGCTCCCCGGCAGAGTGAAATTAGAGCTCTACAGAATCCTGGAGAGGAAAGAAGTTTGGAGCGGAATCTAGCCTGTCAAGTAAGTTCTGCCCCAGCAGAACCCTGTCACGTGGAGGAGGTGGTGGAACCCTGGTCTTGAGCCCACTTCCTGCCTGCTGGATCTTCCCAGCCCCTGATTCCCCTTCACATTCAATTTACCAAAATTCTGGTTAGACCCGATGCTGGAATAGACAGAGGCAGACACTCTCAGCGCCCGCTTTCCTGTTACTCAGTTGGAGAATCATTTTTCAAGACAGTGAATCATGTGAGATAGGAATGTTCTAGGCTAAAATGAACAAAATTCTTGCAAAGAATTCCCTAAATGGGGCTGGGGAGATGTGTTTTGCCTACAGGAGCACCAGATTCAGTCCCTAGCACCAGGTGGAAACTGAGTGTGGAAAAAAAAATTCTTCAATCAATTGTGAACACATTGTTTGTATTAATAAAAATGTTAGAGGTGGATAGGTCCAAAGGAGACAATAGCAAACCACATCAACTAGGGCCTAAAAATGTTCCCATCTTTTCTCTTTCCTCTCCCAAGTTTACTGACGCTATATCTCCTCATGGTCACAGAATGGTTGCCTCAGCACCAACCATCACATCTTGATAATATTTAGTGTGAAAGGGGAACACAGACAAGTTTGTTTTATTACAAATGAATAGGAAGACTTCTCCTTATGTCTAGCTGCCCAGATCTGGATCCTGTGTCTATTCATTGAAAAAAGGGAGGGAGGAGGGATCATAATTAGTGGGAACCAATCACAATTCTGAGGCTAACTGAATCAGAATTCTATTGGGAAAGATAGAAGGGGGAGACGTATTTTCAGAGTCACACCAGCTGCTATTACATATCAGACTCCACATTTCATTGACTTGCCACAACACAAATTAATTTCTCAGTTTGTAAAAATCCAGTGAGGATGATGTTCCTAGTTGACTGGTAGCCTCCTCCAGATGGGATCTGGGAGATTTATCATCGTGGTCCTGCCCTCTGGGGCTCCACCTTCCCTAAACGGCATGTGGGGAAGAGAGAGTGGAAATCACTTTTACTTGAAACTCCTTCTCCAGAAGTGATAGCAGAAGGAGGGAGGGAATTCTACAGATTTGTCCAGACTGTGAACCTCTGATGGGTCCATCGAGATTGCAGGATCAGAAGGGTCAGCCCCCGGGAAGAAAAATAATGACCCAGATGGCTTCCATTATTTTTGTGGCTTCCATCCAGAAAGCAGGTGGTGTTACTGGTAGATGGGGCGGGGGGGGGGGGGTACTTGAGCCCCCGAGCCTTCATACATGTTCACCACGCTGGGCCTGTGAGACCATTTGTGTCTCATCTGTGTCTAGGCCTGTCTCTTGTCAAGGGCCAGGCCACGTGCCTGATTCAGTCCCGAAGCTAGAAGTTTCTGCCTTAGGGATCCAGCCCCCTCCCTGCAAAGGAACGTGGGTATTGGGTGCCGTGGCTCTCCCAGCCCTGTCAGGGTCAGGGGCTGACACTGTTGTTCTTCCATCTGCGTCCTGACGGGCCGAACGTGGCCCAAGTTGACACTCAAAGATGCCTCAGACACTGGCTCCAGCCAGCAGGGAGGTGGAGGTCGGTAAATACTGCCTTTTTTTGGAGGGGGGGGTCACACCCAGCGATGCGCAGGGGTTACTCCTGGCTCATGCACTCAGGAATCACTCCTGGTGGTGCCTGGGGGACCCAATGGGATGCTGGGAATCGAACCCAGGTCAACTGCATGCAAGGCAAACGCCCTACCCGCTGTGGTACGCTCCACCGGGAGCCCGGGAGCAAAGGGTGACTGCCTTCCTGGGCGTAAGTACTGGGGGTTGGAGGCCAGGTGGGTTCCACTGCAGGATGAGGGAAAAGGGCCGAGGAGCCAAACCTCTCCTCGCTCCCGGGCAGCCGTCCGCCGCATCCCCGCCTGTCCAGGGGCTGGAGGAGGAGGACAGGGGCCCTGAGTCCCGGGAAGCCGTGGGCTCATGCGTCTCTGCCCTCTCTCTGCGCAGGGCACTGCCGAGACACAAGGATAGCCCTGGGCCGCCTCTCCCAGAGAGAGAGGCACAGAGTCTGGACTGTTTCTGAGAGGACACACAGGACGCGCTGAGGATGCCGGTAGGTGGTAGCTGGCCCCGTCTGTCCTCTCCACGACCACCAGCCCAGCTAATGCTGACAAGATGAGGGACGGTGGCTCAGAGAGGGTCAGTGGCCCTCCCAAGGTCACACAGCCAGGCCCCCTCTTGTGTATGCTATAGTGAGGTGCCCGCGACTCAGGGGGTGCTTTCCCTGGGGCGGAGGAGCTCTTGAGAGGACCCCAGGGTGGGCTTTCCCTCCAGTTCTGCCCCCAGCGCCTTCCTGCCTCCCCCCTGAGCTAGCATGGGAGCTTGTCTTGCCTCCTGACCCGTGGTACACCCCGGTCTCACCCAGTCGAAGAAATACCGGAGAAAGAACCTTGAGTCATCCCCGAAACTTCTGGAGAAGGCCAAAGAACAGCTGGCGGAGGCCGAGCTGCGGAAAATGAAGCAGCAGCTGAAGAACATGGCAGAGAGCCGCAAGTCCACCCTCCTGCGCTCGGAGAAGACCCTCCTGAACCAGCAGTGAGTGGGGGGCCGTGGGCCCGAGACAGCCTGGAGGAAACTGCAGTTGGGAGCCCAGGGCTGCTTGAGAACGCACCCCGTGGGCACCCCGAGGCCAAGGGCTCTGGACTCCTCGAGACTCGATCCTGGGAGGTGACCGGCCCCTACTCTGGACGTACCAAGGGCCACACCGAGAGGCTGTCCTTTGTTGTTATGTGTTGTTGTTTTGCGGTTACACCTGGTGATTCTCAGGGGTCCTCCTACCTCTGTGCTCAGGCATCACTCCTGGCAGTGCTCAGGGGACCCTATGAGATGCCGGGGATTGAACCTGGGTCAACTACGTGCAATACAAATGCCCGACCCACTGGACTATGGCTCTGCAGATGGACTGTGTTGTTTAATTCCCAGGAGCAGGAGAGCGCTCGGTTCATGTGGGCCTGGTGTGTTCAGTGGCTGGCAGCCACGTGGCTGGGCCTCACAGGGCCATCGTTCCCACCCCCCACCCCCAGCTGGGGAGTGTCTGGGGAGGGGCCATCACTGCCTTGTGGATACACCCCAGGGGACATTCTGAGTGCCCTTGGGCACCGAGAAACTTTGTGGCTTGTGCCTGAGAATACTTAAAATTGGGTGATTTGATACTGACAAGTCTGCATCTGACCAATAGGAAGGTTCCGAGGGCTGAAAAAGCATTTAACAGTCTTCTTAGATTCCTTCCAACTGAATGGAACTTCTTTTCTCTGGAAGGGGGCGTACCCAGTGGTGCTCAGGAATCACTCCTGGCAGTACTCGTGGGACCCTGTGGGATGCTGGGGATTGGACCCAAGTCAGTCATACACAAGGCAAACGCCCTCCCGGCTGGGTATGGCTCCAGCCTGGGGAAATGGAGCTCCCCAGCTACATTTGTAATGGAAATTGGCCATTAGATGACGCGTGGCTGTTGTTGAGAGAACGGGCGAGAGGGGGTACTTAGGGCGGTCTGTGCTTCAGCCCACTCAGACCTCACAGGGCCTCGGAAGGTCGCCCTTCTCAGCACCTGGCTGCCCTCTCAGAAAACGGAGAGGACTTGTTAGAACAAGCCCAAGTGTCTCCCAGGAAAGTGTCACAGATGAACAGACATTGCCCATCTGTGTGGGAGCAGCTGTCACCTGTACCTGGGCTGTGAACAGCGCAGGTTCAACCTGATCTGCCAACGTCCCCCTTCAGGGAAAAGTCAAATTACTCAGCCCCGCCTCAAGGAGTTTAGCTTTTTGGGACTGGCTCATAGGAGCACGGGGAGGATTTGCCTGGGTCACCCTGGCTGGGGTTTGGTCCCCGGTTCCCGGTATTGGTCTCCCCTGCCAGGAGTGATCCCTGTGGCTCCACAAAAAAGGAAAGAAAGAAAAGAAAGAGGAATTTACCTTCAGTGAACAAAGAGCACCCCCGAATTTTACCAGAGGCTACCTCCCCCTCTTCCCGATAGGGCTCCCTAGCGCCCCCTAGAGGCAGTACAGCCCCCTCTGGGAAGCACTTTAGATGATGACTCAGCGCAATAATCTAAACTACAAACAGTGCCAGGGAGGGCACCTGGGGCTCAATATTCCAGGAAGCGCCAGAGCTGTTTATTCCGCCCGGAGAATACACGCCTTCAGTTTGGGGTCGCTGCTCTGTCCACGGGACAGTCTCCAGGACTGCCTAAAGCCTCCCTCTGACAGGCTGATGCTCTTGTTTTTGTTCTTTTGGGCGTGGGTGACCACACCCAGCGATACACGAGGGGCCATGCAGAGCCAGGGATTGAACCTGGGGCTCCCCTGTGTCCTCACCAGGTTTGGGAGATGGTGATAGGAGTGGGGGGAGGGAGGGGAAGTGGACAAGCCTAACCTGGGGTTCTTTTTTTTTTGCTTTTTGGGGTCACACCCGGAAATGCTCAGGGGTTACTCCTGGCTCTGCACTCAGGAATTACCCCTGGAAGTGCTCAGGGGACCATATGGGATGCCGGGGATCGAACCTGGGTCGGCCACATGCAAGGCAAACGGCTTGCCCACTGTACTATTGCTCTAGCCCCATCTGGGGTTCTTCACATCAACTGGACCAGAATCTCAACCCTGCAGGTACCTGTCAGGTGCTTCCGCTGGGAGGAGAGTCTCTGGGCTAATGCTACCCCCTTGCCCGACAGGAAGGAGATCAAGAGCCTGCAGGAGGAGAAGGACGAACTGACCTTGCTTCTGGGTCTCCTCAAGTCCTCTCGGAACCTGAACCAGAACGAGAAAAACTACAGAGAGCTGCGCTTCCTGCTGCAGACCAAGGAGGACTATGAGGGCCTCATCAGCTCCATGAAGACGCTCGTAGGGGAGCTGAACCAGAAGGTGGGCCCCCCATAGGCCTGCGGGGGACGCGGGTTACCCAGGAGCCTCAGGCCAGCTCTGACAATCCACCCCTAACCTTGGCTGTGATCTCCGGGGGTCCCTGCTCTGGTCCTCCACAGAGGGCTCAACCCCCCCCCCCCAGCACTTTGGACGACCCCCTTTTGTCCCGTCAGCACCGGGGAGCACAGTCTGTAGTGACAAACAGCCCCCGCTCTGGCCTCAACCGGGAAGTTTTGTCCCAATTCTGCGACACTGCTGCTTATGGATTTGCCATCAGCTCGAGCTGCTTGGGCTGGGACCGCCGAAGTGACAGACACAGCCTTGAACCCACCAGGTACCAGCTGGAGACCCAGCGGGCCTGATGCTCTCAGTGGAAGTTTCCTCCTGGCAGTGACATGGTTCTCTTGTGCCGGTGGCTCGTGGGCTGGCCACAGTCTACTCAAAGGGGCACAGCCCGAGTAGTTAACGCTCCCCACCCACCGGAGGGCCTGGAAGAACTGGAGACTGGCTGGGCGGTGCCACCATCCCTTCCTGTGGCAGGAAGCCTCTGCCCCGGCTCCTCCTTGTCCTCACCAGGCCCCCCCCCCCCGCCCCGTTGGCCCAGGGTCCCCCAGCACATGGCGGCTCTTCCCTTTAGATGCACTTCCGTCGCTCTCCGCATCGAGTGTCTCAGGGACACGCGTGTCCATGGGAAGTCAAGCCCTCCCGTGTTTGCCAGGCTCCTGGCCAGAGCTAGCATGGCCCTGGGGAAGGAGTTTCATGAAAGACAGGCCTGGTCCAGGTTTGGGGCCACACCTGGCAGCACCCAGGGCTGACTCGAGACCGGTGCTATGGACACTCAGAATTGAGGCAGTTTCTGCTCGTGCAGGCTGACTTGGACGTGGGCCTCCAAGGCCAAGGACACAATCCGGGTTGAGCTGGTGACGTGGTTTCTAATTTTGTGACCAGCTCTTGGGGGAAATTCTGAACCCAAGAACCTTCTCTGGGTGAATAAAGGGCTCATGTTCCTGGATGGTTGTCCAGTGGGGCAAAATGCAGAGAGCGATATATGCCTGTGTAAAACACCACAGCCGGTCTGGGGCCGGGTAAAGCCAATTTTCAAAGTGGAATTTATGTCTGCATGTCATCCAGGCAGGAAAAGCCACAGGCGAGTCAAGTCCTGGCTGTCTGCTGCTTCTTTCTGCTGAGCGTATTTGGCTTCTGGGGATCCACCCATTAAATGCCACAGTGCCCCCCTCATTGCAAGGTCCAGGCCAGACCCCCCAAGATTACAGAAGATGCTTTGGGAAAAGGGGGCAGTGCCACTCCTGGGGGAACTGCGATTTCGGGGTATGGTGGAATTTCCATGCACAGGTGTGAGAATTTTGCACTCGCAGATCTGTACCTTCAAACGCCAGACTGAGCCACAAGGAACTCAACAAGCATCCGAGAGAGCGATTAAAATTCGGTTCACAGGCAGAGGAAGACCAAGGCTGTGCTTGTTCCGGCGTGCTTGGCTTGGCGGACTGTGGGCTTTATTCCCTCCAGATGTCAACACAGCTGGGCTCTCTCTCTCTTTCAGATTGATGAGATGGAAAAAAGAATTTTCAACCAAAAAAAGATCACCTCAAAATTGCAGGAGGCCAATGACCCCCGGAAACTGCAGAAGCAGATTCAGATTTTGGAGACCCGTTTAAATCTTGTATGTAAGACAAACCTTGTATGTCCTCTGTAGTTTTACAGACCCTCCTACCGGCCTTGTTTTTTTTTTTTCCAGTGGAAAATGGTGCTCACTGGGCCATTAGCAGAGCACAGCCCTCTTCTCGGTGGAGTTAAGAGGGTCCCTAGCACAGCAGGGAGGGCATTTGCCTTGCACACAGCAAGGATTGATCTGGGTTCAATCCCTGGCATCCCATATGGTCCTCCGAGCACCGCCAGGAGTAATTTGAGCACCGCCAGAAGTAATTCCTGAGTGCAGAACCATCAGTAACCCCTGAGCATCGCTGAGTGTGGCCCAAAAATAAAAAAAAAGAGGGTCCCTTACAGTTACAAACCAGGCATTTAGCATTTAGCACCCACCCCCATCACCGGCCCTGTCGGTCCGCTGTTGTCTGTCTGGATCTCCTGCACCCTCCCCCAGCCCCAAACTCCTAGGGTGCCAGCACCTCGTGTTCTGACTCAGAAGCTCCTGCTCACTGGAATATGATCCTACTGCAGGAAGGATCATGACACCTTCTCTCTGCCCTACGCCATTGGCTTGTTGTTGTTGTCTCTAGGAAATATTAGAATGCATAATTTGATAAAAAGAAAGGTATCTCAATCACCATTAGTTTATTATTATTATTAATTTTTTGCTTTTTAGGTCATACCTGGCAATGCACAGGGGTTACCTCCTGGCTCTGCACTCAGGAATTACTCCTGGCGGTGCTCAGGGGACCATATGGGATGCTGGGAATCGAACCCGGGTTGGCCGCATGCAAGGCAACTGCCTTACCTGCTGTACTATTGCTCCAGCCCCTCACTGCCATTTTCATAATTAGCAGGAGTCTCTAAATTGGCCACTGGGGAAATTAGCCGAAGGGGGAAGCCCTCCAGGTAGAGAGGAATGTATTGTTGATAAACATGAAGAAAGGGACTTCAGGCATAGATGGATCCAGGCATTCCCATTGTGTCTTGAGGATAGTTCTCTGACCATCTCTCTCCTGGATAGAGTGGGTCCCCTAGGAGGAGCAACTGTCAGCAGAAAAGGAGCATCGTTTCCCTAAGAGTTCCCATGGGCCAGTTGGGGCCATTATATCTGCCTCATCTATGAACTAGCCACCAAGGCCCGAGGACAGAGTACATGGCCCTGCGTCACTTGTATGCCATGGGACACCTGTCTCCCAGGTCGGGAGGGTGGTCCCAGCCTCCCACCTAAACTCAATGGATTGCACTGCAGAAAAGCGGCTCTCCTGGCAAGGCGTAAAGAGAGGAGGAAAGGCTGGTGGGCAGTGCCGACACACGTGACCAGAGAGAGGGAGGGTGGGTCCGTGCGGAGGGACCCTCTTGCTGCCTTGCATACAAAATGCTCAGCAGCCCCAAGTTCCCGCAGCTGGTTGGACCCTTCCTGCTGGCTCCCAGGAAGCCTGGGGAGGGGGGCAGGCAGAGAGGGCAGCAGCCTTCACGTCCGTCTACTGACCTGCAGCCGTGTAGCAAGTGTCTAGGATGGGTATTAATGCAGAATTCCAGGGCCCCCTGCAGATTCACCCCGGGCAACTTGGCACCTGCACGACCTCCAACCCAGTGACAGGGGCAGCCCTGTGGGTGTGAGGAGGAGCCGGGGAGGTGCTTGGCAACCATCTATGGATGAGTGAGTGAATGGATGAATGAGTGAATGAATGAGTGGATAGGTGAATGAATTGTGAATGAATGAATGAGTGAATTAATGAGTAAATGGATGAATGAGTGAATGTGTGAATGAGTGAATGAATTCATGAATGACTGAGTGAATGAGTGAATGTGTGAAAGTGCCCTGTGAGTTTTGGTGGCAGAGCCACAGCCCTCTGGTGTCCTCGCCCTTCCTCGGTTCTGGCTCTCAGTGCCGGCTTCTCCCTAGGAATGTTTCCGTCTCATCTAAATCACCCTGGTTTTTATTTTGTTTTGTTTTGATGCTCAGGGCTTGCTCCTGGCTCTGTGCTCGGGGATTACTCCCGGTGGGGCTCAGGGGACCGTATGGGGCGTTGGGGATGGATCCCGGGTGAGTTGTGTGCCAGGCATGTGCCCGCCCCTCTGTACTGTCGATCCAGCCCCTAAATCACCCTGATTTGTTTGGTGGACAATTGCTTGTAGAATATGCCCTTAAACTTAGGATATTTTTTTTCCTTTTTAGTGAAGTAAAAAATAGTTTTGTTTAGAGAAGTTTAGTCAGGAAATATGAGGGGGGAAAGAGGGAGAGAGAGGAGGGAGAGAGAGGGAGGGAGAGAGAGAGAGAGAGACTGAGAGACTGAGAATACCCGTCTCGGGCCAAGAGGTGGGAGAATCCTGAGGTGGAGAAAACAAGAGCGACTGTTTGCCCTCAGCGATGCTTTTTTTTTCTTGCACCCCAATTTCCCCCCCCCCCCCGTTCCCTTCTCCCCTGACCAGGTGGAGCTGTTTCTGGCTGCTGAGAGAATCTTGTCCAGGCTTGACCCCGTCCCCCAGAATGTGTTCTCACCTCAGCCTTTCCAGCTGCTCATGGGGTCTTATTGCTTTTATGCCCCGGTGACGGGGCTTTACAGGCTGAAACTTGCTCCAAAGTGCTCATGAGTAATCACTGCACTCCTCCTAGGGGCCAGCGGGGGTAGCGCAGACGCTCAGCTGATCTGGCCCTGGGCCCGCCCTGCTGCCCCTCCCCCATACAGCTCAGGGCTGGGTCCGGGTGAAACCAGCAGAGGCCAACGGTGAGGTAGCCAGAGGCGAGGCGCCTTTGGCCACCAGCCTGCAGGTGAAGCCGTGCAAGCCTCTCGCAACCCGCTGAGCACTCGTGGCCGCTGTCTCCTTCTCTCTCTCTCTCTCTCTCTCTCTCTCTCTCTCTCTCTCTCATTGAATCATTGTGATATGCAGTTACAAAGCTTTCACGTTTGAGTTTCAGTCATACAATGATCCAACACTCCTCCACCAGTGCACATTCCCCACCACCAATCTCCCCAGTATCCCCCCATCCCACCCCTCCCCCCCGCCTCTATGGTAGACAATTCCCCCCATCCTCTCTCTCTACTTTTGGGCATTACGGTTTGCAATACAGATACCGAGAGACCATCACGTTTGGTCCTTTATCTACTTTCATTGCTCATCTCCCATCCTGAGCGATCCCGCCAACCGTCATTGACTTCTCTATCCCAGCTGCCTTCTCCCCCCGCTCAGGACACCCTGTCTCTTATTTATTTAGTTAGTTATTTGCTTTTTGGGTCACACCCAGCGTTGCTCATGGGTTATTCCTGGTTCTGCACGCAGGAATAATTCCTGGCGGTGCTTGGGGGACCATATGGGATGCCGGGGATCGAACCCAGGTCGGTCGTGTGCAAGGCAAACGCCCTACCCGCTGTGCTATCGCCCCGGCCCCCACCCTGTCTCTTATTAGTATTTTTATTTTTCTCATGCTGGGCCTCCAAGAGTTCTTTTTCTTTTTGGGTCACACCCGGAGATGCTCAGGGGTTACTCCTGGCTCTACACTCAGGAATTACTCCTGGCGGTACTCGGGGGACCCTATGGGATGCTGGGGATTGAACCCGAGTGAGCCGTGTCCAAGACAAACACCTTTCCCCACCAGACTATTGCTCTGGTCACCACCAAGAGTCTTTTAAAGCTGGATCCAGTCACAGGGCTGGAGATAGTACAGCAGGGAGGGCACTTGCCTACGTGGGGCCAGGGTTCGATCCCATGTAGGTTTTTTTTTCTTTTTGGGTCACACCCGGCAATGCACAGGGGTTACTCCTGGCTCTGCACTCAGGAGTTACTCCTGGCGGTGTTCAGGGGACCATATGGGATGCTGGAATCGAATCCGGGTCGGCCGCGTGCAAGGCAAACGCCCTACCCGCTGTGCTATCGCTCCAGCCCCCCATGTAGGGTTTTCTAAGAAACACCAGGAGAGATCCCCAAACACAGTCAGGAGTAAGCCCTGAGCACAGCTGGCGCGGCCCCCGACTAACCAAACGAAACCCCTGTACTCAATCCAGTCTCCCTAACTTTTAGACCTCTTAAGTGTTTTTAGCCTGGGACCGGCAGAGAGTGAAGGGGGCGGGCATTAGCCTTGCATGCAGCCAACCCCCGTTTTATCCCTGGTGCTGCATCTGATTCCTCTGAGCACCGCCAGGAGTGGCCCCTGAGCACAGAGCTAGGAGTGAGTCCCGTTCTAGGTGTGGCCATAAAAAGGGTTCTTTCACCGAGAGCACTAGTTCGAGAGTGCTGGTTCTCAGTCAAGGATGATTTTTTTGTCCCCAAGGTACATTGTCTTCCAATGGAAGGGGGCATTTGTGGTTGCCACATTGGGTGGAGGGTGTATGCGCATGATGGGTGCCCAATGGCCAGAGATCAGGGATGTTTCCTGAACACTCTAGAAAGCCCAAGAGAGTCCCCTGCCCAAGGTATTGTGCTGCCAAAGTGGCAGTGTGAATTTTGAGGTACCCACTGCTCAGATGGCCCTAACACAGACTTGGCTCACAGTACCTGCTTGATGGGACCCAGCGCGCAGCCCGGGGCGAGATCTGCCTTCTCTCATTCAATTTGCTGCTTCTCCTGCTGTGGTCGAAACGGGCAGTAGTTGGGATGTTTGAAACCCAGGGAGAGGCTGACAGAGGCCATGCAAGCCGCTGGTGTTTGGCCCAAGAGCGTCACCCACGGCTCCAGGTGGGTCCTGTTCGGTGGCCCAGGGCAGAGATCGTCCCTTCAGAAGGCTGTGGGGGCCCAAGCGAGCCCGGTCCAAGTTACGGCTCGCCCCCAGGTCACCGTCAGCTTCGACAAGATGCTGCATGCCAACGCCCAGCTGCGCAGCGAGATCGAGGGTCTGCGGAGCCAGAAGGCTGCGTACGACCACGTGCACCAGCAGCTCCGCCGTCGCCTGGTCGTGCAGAAGAGAACCATGAAGAACGCCATCGAGCAGTCCTCACTGGCCTACGAGCAGAGGTGCAGTCTCCTCGGGGTCCCAGCCATCCCTGGGCTCCAGCGTGGGGAGCCCGAAAACCACAGCTTAGCTCTGAGCTGGGAGGGCATGTGAGCCTGGTGCCAGGGGGCCCTGGGTGTTAGCGCGACTCGGACAGTACTGCTTATCCCCACTGTACACAGGGACAGACACGTGCGAGCACTGCCTGGAAGCCGTGTGCAAATAGTGGCAGACGCGTGGGGCTGAGCTGTGAGCCACTGGGTCCCTCTCCTCTTGCTGCCCGAGTCTCGGGGTCCCCCCGGGTCTGGGTCATCTCCTGCTTTCAAACTCGCAGGGGACGTGGCAGTTAGCCGTGAAGAGCACAGAGCTTGGAGTCAGATCTGGGGTTGAGTCCCCAGTCCCATTGCTACCCCATTGTTGAGGGCATCTTTGGGTGGGGTGAGGGTCAGGTCAGACACGAGAGAAGCGGAGGCCAGAAAACATCGTGAATGGTTCCGATCGATGAGTGACCACAGTGAGGGTGCTGGTGCTGCTGGTGCTGATGGTAATGGTGCCGGTGGTGCTGGTGGTGCTGATGGTGACGGCAGTGCTGATGGAGGTGCTGATGGTGATGGTGATGGTGGTGATGATGGTGCTGGTAGTGGTGATGGTGCTGGTGGTACTGATGGTGATGATGGTGGTGATAGTGATGGTGGTGCTGAAGGTGCTGATGGTGACGGCAGTGCTGACGGAGGTGCGGATGGTGGTGATGGCAATGAGGATGAGGATGAGGAGGAGATGGTGGTGACAGAAAAGTAATTTTGTGGGGTGATCTGGAGCTCATAGTTGCTGTCAGCTAGGCAAGGGAGATGCTTCCTCCACTCCCAGAATCCTCGGTGGTGAAAGGAACAGTGAGCCTGGCCTGGGCAGGAAGGGTCTCTGGGCGGGGCCGGGCGGCGTCTCCCACCTCACAACACTCCCTCCCCAGGCTGGAAGCTGGAGCCCGGATGGCCGCCCTGCAGGAGCGCCAGGAGAAGGACATCACCCAGCACAACCTGGAGATCCGTGAGCTGGAGCGGATTCAGCAGCACGAGGCCAAGCTCAAGACCTTCCTGCTCATTAAGCTCAATGACCGCCTGGAGTTCCAGGAGGAGGCCAGGAAGAATGAAGGTGTATTGCCGCGTTCTCCCTCTGAGGGATGCACACTTCTGTGCCAGAGTTAGCAAAGCACACATGCTCGCACATGGACACACATGCACACACTTGCACACCCATACACACACTCTCGCACAACACACATACATGCTTACAGATGCATGCCCACACATAACACACGTACACTCACCCAACACACACACACTGGCACAACACATACACATGCTTACAGATGCATGTTCACACACAACACACGAACACTCACGCAACACACTTGCACATACACGCATGCACATACATACCCTCGCACCCCACACATGCACACACACGCTCACATATGCACACCCATACACAACACACATATTCAGTAACACACATTCGTGCTCACATACGCGCAACACACGTACACTCACTCACAACACACACATACACGCACTCATACAACACACATGCACAAAGAGAACACACGTGCACACCCACACACAAGACACATGCTCACACATGCACACCCCCACACCACACACGTACTCTCACACAGCACACACATGCACACACTCACACAACACCGGCCCAGGGAGAGTTCTGCGGGTGAGAGCACATATTCTGCAGCAGGAGCCCGGCGTTGGCTCCCGACACGGCCTGACTCTCTCCTGGCCACCCGGGACCCAAAGCCACAAGCCCCAGGAGAGGAGGGCGCAGTCAGCAGTGGCTGGGCGGTGCTTGGGCCTGGCCGTGCGGGGCCACGCTCACACGACACTGAATGCTATGCCGGGCCACTAAAAACCGACGTGGTGCTTCTCTCCAGCTGAGCTGTCTTCAGAGTTTGAGCAGGCTTCAGTCTGAACTGCAACCCCCTGGTCATCCCGTGTTGGACCTGCCGTGTCCAGTCCCCAGGAATGTCCTCTCTGGAGGCTCCTCCCATGGCCTGTGGTCCCCAGGTTCCCAACGTCTGTTGCCCGGCCAGGAGACCTCCAGAGACTCAGAAGTGGCGGCAAAGCCGGTCATAGTGTGGCAAAGGGACACAGAGCTCAGTCAGCAAAGAGAGATTTGGGGTAGTCGGCACAAGCTTCCAGAACCTTCTCAGGGTTACTTCCTCCTCAGGAGTGGCTCTGAGCACTTTCTTGGGCTCAGATGTACCACAGACCCACCTGATGTTTGTATCTGACCCAGCAGGCCACGCCCGCCAGGCATCACCTCACAAGCTTTTCTGAGCAACTTACAAGTGTCAAGGCCAGGTGATGAAAAGTCCGGAAGGAGATTCACTGAGCTCTGAGCCTTGACCTTCCCCCAGCTCAAATATCACCTCCTCAGAGTGGCCGTCCCAGCGCCAGAGCCCTCCCCCCTCTCACAGCCCCGTGGGTCCCCACAGCCCTGTCACGGGGCACTTGGTTTCCCTATTCTGAATCTCTTTCCTTTGCTCCTTTTAAGGATTCTTTTTATGTTGCACGGGGCAGAGGGTTTTGTATCCGCAGAGCCCGGCCTTGGCCTCGTGTCTGGCACATAGTAAATGCTCAGTTAGGCAGAGGTGGCGTCACTAAGGAGTGAGGGGCTGAGGCACTGGAGTAGAGGGGGCTGGCGCTGCCTGGCTGGTCCCAGGCTGGCTCTTGCAGCCCGTGTCCTTTCCTAGCTCTCAAGGCCAAGAAATGTGTGAAGCAGAAAAATCTCGAGAGTTCTGAGAGCTATGAGGTGGCCCACCTCCGGCTGATGAAGTTAGCAGAGGACGGAAACCTGAATAGGCTCATCCACGACTTTCTGGTCAAGGAGGAGATGAATTTTGCTCGGTTCACGTACGTCATGGAGCTTAACAGCAACATGGAGACGATGCAAACGAAGATCAAGAAGATCCAGGTCAGGCACCTCTTGTCTCCCAGGTCTGGGGTCCCAGCTGCTCCCCGGGCAGCCTTCTCCAAAGCGGGTTCCCTGGAGCACCCCTTGAGCTTCTCCGCAGGAAAAGTGGCTTTGAGGTCGAGTCAGTTTGGGAACCGCTCCATGTCCCCCTCCCGCCGTCCCCTTTCCGAAGCGCCTTTCGGCACATAAAAGCGCTGTCCCCTCCCTACCCCCACCGCACGTGTTACACCTCCTGGCTCAGTGAAACAACTCTGGCTCTTGGCCTTAAGAGCCGGCTGATCCCTGTTAATCAGTAGTTTCCAGGAATTGAGGCCAGGAAGCTGGATGATTTGGAGCAATCTGGTGGACGGCCACAGAGCAAAGGCTCTGGCAAGTCCTGCATTGCAGCTGCCTGGGGACTTGCCTGCATCTCCCGCAGTTCACAGGCAACTTTCTCCCCAGAACAGACATCAGCAGCCTTAGGGCTCAATGCGAACTTCATTGCAGGACACTCCAGCCCCTTCAGAATGAGGCAGGCTTAGCGCCCACCCCATCCCATGCCCTCTCAGCCAGCTCCAGGGCCCCCCACAACATTTCCTCTCTCAAAAAAACCTCAACCTCTGTTTTCCTCCTGGTGAAATTTCCTTCCTTGTTCTGATCCTGCGCAGTTGTCATTTCTGGTGGGAATTCTGTCCCCTCACCTCTGAAATCTGCCCCCAGTCCGGCCCATTCAGGCTCCATCCCCATGTGTCCCCCGCTGCCAGTGGACAGGGTCATTGCCCGGGACCTTTTCTCCTGGGCCTCTGTTCTCTCTCTCTCTCTCTTTTTTTTTCTTTTTGGGTCACACCCGGCAATCACAGGGGTTGCTCCTGGCTCTGCACTCAGGAATTACTCCTGGCGGTGCTCAGGGGACCATATGGGATGCTGGGGATCGAACCCAGGTCAGCCGCGTGCAAGGCAAACACCCTACCCACTGTACTATCTCTCCAGCCCCTCTGTTCTTTTTAATGTGAGAAACTTCCTGGGTGCGGTGGGGGGCCCCGTGGCCCGGGGGGCACGGCCACATTCACTCACATTCTGGTGCTCTGTCGAGCAGGATAAGATCACTGACTTGCGATTCCAGCAGAAGACATCCCAGGATGACAACCGTTCTGCCCTGATGGAGCTGGAGGTGAGGCTAGGGCCCCCGTGTCTGTCTGTCTGTCTGTCTCTCTGGCAGCCTATTCACTTGTCCCCTGGAACAAGGATCTGCCCATGAGGGTTCTGGCTCTTGTCCTGATCTGCCCTGGCCCCCTGTCCCAGGAGCCTACAGGGACTGCAGGAGGGTGATTTTTTTTTTTTTTTTTTGCTTTTTGGGTCACACCCGGGGTTACACACAGGGGTTACTCCTGGCTCTGCACTCAGGAATTACCCCTGGCGGTGCTCAGGGCACCATATGGGATGCTGGGAATCAAACCTGGGTCGACTGCGTGCAAGGCAAATGCCCTACCCGCTGTGCTATTGCTCCAGTCCCGAGGGCGATATTTCTTAAGGTCTCTTCCTCCGCCCTATCGATGCCCCCACTCCCTTTCAGGGCAGCTGAGAATGTCATCCTAGACCAGTTCCTTTCAGACCAGCCTAGCCTCTGTCCCCGGCTGACTGTGCCCTGATCTTTTTTATTTTATTTCATTTTTTGCTTTTTTGGGTCACATCCGGTGATGCTCAGGGCTTACTCCTGGCTCTGCACTCAAGAATCACTCCTGGAGGTGCTCGGGGGACTATATGGGATGCCGGGGACCAAACCTGGGTCGGCTGCATGCAAGGCAAACACCAACTTAATGGTTCTTTCCCTGAAGTCTTGGCCGTGTTCACATCTCACTGGTATCTCCACCATGGGCATGCCGGGTTGGACAAAGAACTTTCAAGCAGGGAGCATTGCCACCCCAAATACCAGCAGGGCTTTGTTATTAAGGGGCCAGGGGGTGAGTGGGTAGCAGATCTATGACAGTGACCCAGCGCCAGGGGAGCTGGATCAAGCGCTGTTCTCACCAGAATGTTCCTGGCCCTGGAAAAATGCTACTCCCGGGTTTGTTCTGAGAAGGCTGCTGATGCCTTTCTCTGTTTGGCCACTGGGGGGCAGCAAATCACAGGCTGCCCATTGAGCGGCTGCAGCTCAGTCTGGGGGAAATGAGGCCAGAAGGGAACCGTGCCCAGCGGGTACCAGTCTGGGGTCCCTCATTCCCCACTAGGGATGCTCAGCATCTAGATTAGATGTTTCCAAATGCGTTTTGGTCTTTCTACCCGCTTTTCGGAAAAGAAACTCACCCAGCACAGCCTGCCCGTCCCCTTCCCCGCTAAAACCTGCCTTCTCCAAGGAAACAAAGGAATAGCCCCTCCTCCCCCCAGCACTTAGCGATCCGGCCACTCTGGAGGCTGCACAGGAAGCCTCTGGGGTTGGGGCGATGTTGTGGTATTACTCCACGTTCTGGGGTCCAGCCTGGGGAGACTGGCCAGGTAACCCCAGCGTCTCCCCAGCTCTGCTTGGACCCCAACCCCTCAGCTCCTGTTCCTTTGGCTTTAGCCAGAAGAGTTCTGGAGATTTCTTTCCAGATTCAGACACTCTAAACAGAATTAATTTTGTGTGTTTTGGGTGCGCGCGCATGTGTGTGTTTGTGTGTGCATGTGTGTCTTTTTTTTTAATCGCACCTGGCGATGCTCAGGGCTAACTCCTGGCTCTGCACTCTGGCGGTGCTCGAGGGACCATATGGGATGCCAAGGATCTTGAACCCAGGTCAAGGCAAAGAAAACGCCCTCCCCATTGTACTATCACTCCAGCCCCCCCTTTTTAAATTAATGTTTTTATTTAATTAATTATTTACTTATTTTTGCTTTTTTGGGTCACACCTGATGATGCACAGGGGTTACTCCTGGCTCTGCACTCAGGAATTAGTCCTGGTGGTGCTCAGGGGACCATATGGGATGCTGGGAATCGAACTCGGGTTGGCCGTGTGCAAGGCAAACACCCTACCCGCTGTGCTATTGACCCAGTCCCTTAAATTAATGATTAAATCTTCATTTTAGACACCATGGCTTATACTGTCAATAATAGGGTCCATGCATGACATGAAACAGCTCCCCACTCCTGAGCACCCACTGTCTCCCCACCATTGTCCCAGTCACCCCCTACTGTTTCTTTATATCCCACAAAGGAGAGCAGTTGCTCTGTGTCAGCCCCTCGCTCTGCAAGATGCTCTCCAGAGCCCTAGTTCCGTCTCTTTTCAGAGCTGAGTACTACTCCACTGTGTAAAAGTAAAGGCCCTCCCGTTGATCGTCGATTTGCTCGAGCGGGCCCAGTAACGTCTCCATTAGAGACTTTGTTGTTACTGTGTCTGGCATATCGAATACTCTCGGTAGCTTGCCGGGCTCTCCGAGAGGGGCGGAGGAATCGAGGAATCGAACTCGGGTTGGCCATGTTGGCTGCGTGCAAGGCAGACGCCCTACCCACTGTGCTATCGCTCCAGCCCCCTTCCACTGTGTATACCAGGGCAATTGCTTCTCTATCCGGTCCCCTGTTCCCGGGTGCTCGAGCTGGGTCAGGTCACACTGCCCCGGACAGAGAGAGTCAGTCTTCAGAGCGCGGAGTCCCCAGACAGATATCTCCTTCCCCCGTCTGACCCTCAGGAGAAGCTGAAGAGGACCACAGAGGCGGCGGACAGGTACGAGCTGAGGGCCGAGGAGATTGGCAGGACCCTGGAGCAGCTCAAGGAGGCCGTGAAGTCCTTGCTGAAGAAGATGGGCTTCAGCACAACCGAACTCCTGGATCGGCTGGGGGCGCATGGCCAGGTCACTGATGCCAACCTCACGCAGTACTTCGGTGAGTCCAGTTGCGGCCCCGGGACGGGACCCTGCTGGCGGTGGGGGTGAGCCCCCAAATGTGAGGGGAAGCGCAGGGCTGGCGGAACGCAGACACCTGGCCTGAGTCTGAACTCAGGGCGATCTGGGGGGCCCAGGACACCCTCCAAGATGCTGGAGGCGGGTGTCAGCGTGTGGCCCTAACTGCTCTCCTGTCCCGGCCCCTTGATAGAGCCTTTCCTGATGGCGTCCAGGGTCGGTGCCTTTCCTCCTCCGCCTGCCTCCTCCTCCCATTTCTCACCCCAAGCCCTGCTCCCGCCACACGCCGTTCTCGACCCTGTCCCCCACCTCCCCCCCCCCACCAGCCCCGCCATCCTGGGACCCCTGCAGGGCTGCCTGTACACCTCCCGCTCAGGTTCTGGGGGTCATCGCTGCCCTCCCCTCCCTGATAGGCAGAGGCTGGTCCTCAGCCTCACCCATCGCTCCTGCTTAGCAGAGCCCGAGTTCACCAGCAGGGGGCGCTCCCTCCCTGTCCGTGAGGTTGGGGGCGGGGGAACCCCGCGAATTTCAGATTCGAGCACTTCTAGTCCCCAGTTTTCACAAAGACTAGCAGGAGACAGGAAATTACCTGGAGATTGATCGACTGATTTTCAAAGTCATCCCAATCTAGTCGTTATTGAATTCCAGTCACGAGCAGGTGGCTGGTGAGAGGCGAGTGTGTGTGTGTGTGTGTGTGTGTGTGGTGTGTGGTGTGTCCCTGTGTCTTCTCTCCCTCATGTCCACCCTTGCCCCCAACCAGAAGCTGATGAACCTCATCAGGACGAGGATTACATCCTTGTCACTTTTGTCACGTGTGTGGCCCAGCTGTCCCCAAGTTTCTGTGACACTCACCCAGTGCCTGGCTCCAGGGCACTCAATAATCACTGATGAAAGACGGAGGGGTCAGGGGACTTCGGGGAGTTGAGTTGTGGGAGGCCTGTGGGAAGGGCAGGTCACTCCTGCTAGTCACTACTCAGGACTGAGGGTGCATTCAGGGAGAGGGACAGGGAGAAGCATTCTTGGCCAAAGATGCAGCATGAGCAAAGGCCCTGAGGCCTGAGACAGAGGATGCTGAGACATTAGGATGCCTCCTAATTTCAGGGTAACTGCATATTTCTCCACTTTTCATTCAGTATTGCCCCAGATACCTTTTAAAGACTGATTACAAAAAAAAAAACTTTTTTGAAAGACCTTGTCCTTAGAGGCACTTATGATCTCCTTTCCTGTCCAGCAGCCCCCCCCCAATTCTCCCCACCCCTCCCCAACCAGCCTGCGGGCATTCACCTTGCCCCTGCCCTTCCCAGCCATCATTGAGAAGAAGACCAACGACCTCCTGGTGCTTGAGTCCTACCGGCGGCTCCAGGACATCGAGAGGGCCGACCTAGAGGCACCACAGCCCTTCATCAACCCGTTCTGGGGCGGCTCTGCCCTGCTCAAGCCTTTAGAATTCAGGAAAATCAGCGTCCCCTTCCTTGGTGGGGAACCCTCGGACAAGCTGGATGATGGTGAGCTGGGCGTCCTCGGGACCAGGCAGGGCTAGGGGGTCTCTTGGAGGTCTCTGTGGGGAGAGTCAGTAGCAATGAGCCTCAGTTTCCCTCCTTGTGAGCCTCATGGGGGGACCACATCTTGGCCAGGGCTCTCTGAGAGTTTGCTTGGCCCGGCCAGCTCAGCCAGCCTGGCTATTTGAAGATGAAGCCCCTTAAGGTGTCTGAATCCACCGTCCAGGGGGGCCTTCAGAAGTGGACAGAATGGTGAGCTGGGGGCACCCCTGTGGGCCCCGTCTCTGTCCTCCCTCTCTGCTCTGGACACTCACTCAGCCCCTTGGTGCCTGCCCCACCGGCCTGGCGTCTTTCCTCCTTCATGGGGCGCCCAAGCCCCACTTTACCGGGACCCTGCCCTCCTCTCTGCGGCGGGAAGCAAATCAGCCCCACATGGCTTTAGAAGTTGGTTTGGAGGCCAAGTTTCCACTGGGTTCACCCGGGCAGCCTGGAGCCCCCCCTGTGGGCCTCGCTCCTTGCAGAAAAGCCCCCAGACTGGAGACGGCTGAAATGAGAGAGAAGCTTAATACCCCCCCCCCCTCCCTGATCTGCACCCGGGCAGAGCTCTGCAGGCACCGAAAGGTGCCCCAGCACTGTGTCCGTCCAGAATGTTCCACCTGGCACACGCTGTGTGTCATGTGTGCTAGGATGAGGGAGCGGTCCAGGTTGCTGCAGTGTTTGGGGGTGGAGGGGAGGCTCAGAGAACTTCGCTCACTGTTGTTTTTTTAAAGTGATTTTCCAGATTTGAGTTTGAATGCATCTGGGAGCAGCCTTGCAGGGGTAGGGGCCTGCCCAGGAAGGAGGCAGAGACGAGCATACGTACACACACGCATGCATGCATGCACACAGATGCACACATGACACACACATACACACATGCACGATGCACACAGGCGTGCACACATGCACGCACACATACACGCACCCACTCATGCGCACACACAGGCTCACGTGCAAGCAAGCATACGCACATGCGCTTGCCCCTGTGTGGTTTGGCCAAGGCCCGTGAAGCCTGGCAGGCCCGAGGGCTGAACGCGGCGGCTCATGGGCCCCTTAGCCCAGAACGTGGGCGCAGCTGCTGGCGCTGCTGCCCTCACATGGCCAGAGCCTCGAGACGCGCACTTCCTTCCTTCCTTCCAGGAAACGTTGCTCTCGGGGTCTCAGCCCCTGGCTCACTGGCTCGCTGTGGAAGCCAGGCCTTCCCCTCGGGAGGTCACTTAGGAAACAGGGTTCCTCTGGCAAAGGAGGCCTGGTCATCCGCTCGCCGGTCTCTGCCAGGTGTCATTGTTCAGTGCCCGTCCTGAGCCACTGCACGTGGCGGCCCAGGCTCCTCAATATCCAGCCACGCTCCCCGCCACAGCCACCCCCCGGCCTATCCTCCCCCTTCCCGAACCCGGGAATTCTCACACCCCAACTGGTCCCGTGAAGGTAAAGGCCCGCCTGCCCCCCCCCCGACTCGGGCCTCCATGCGGGGCGGAGGGGCGGGCCGGCCCCACCATGCCCCCTCTCTGCAGTGGAGCAGCCCCTGGACCACAGCAACCTCCGGCAGCTGGTGCTCAACAGCCTCGGCGCCCGGGAGTTGGGAAACCAGGAGGTCAACGCCGACGCCGCCTCCGAGAAGGCCGACGGCTCCAAGGCCAAGAAGTTGAAGAAGACCTGAAGGGCCCGAGCGCTCTGCCCAGTGCCCCGGAGAATAAACGTTTGTTCCCTGACCCCTGGCCACTCAGGAGGGGGCACTGTGCGTGCGTGCACGTGTGAGTGCGCGCACATGTGTCTGTGTGTGTCTGCGTCCGTGTGTGTGAGCGCGTATGTGTCTGCATGTCTCCATGTGTGCATCTGTGTGTGTCTATGTGTGAATGTGTGTACAGATGTGTGCGTCTGCATGTGCATTTCCGACTGTGTGTGTGTGTCTGTGTCTGCATGTCTGTTTGTGTCTCTGTGTCTGTGCGTGCGTCTGCATATGTGACTGCATGTGCCCAGATGTGTCTGTCCATGTGGGTTTTGCCCTGAATCTTCTCACCTTGACTGATCTGGAGCCGAGGCTCCCCGGGTCTCAGAAGCCCCAGGAAGCAGCTCTTTCCAGACGGGGATGCCGGGATCCTGCGGGGGGTGATGTGGGTCCTCATGCCAGACTTTCCCCACAGCCGGGGCTGCTGTCCCCAGCTCGTGGAGGGGACCCTGAGCTGTGCTTCGTTTTGAGACTTTCTCCTCCCAAGACCTGGCCCCCTTGTCTCCGCCATGTGACTCAGTTCCAGCTTTGTCCCCTTGCGTCACTGACGTTGACTGTGTCCTGTGTCCTTGAGGCTGTCTTGAACACAAACTCCTGATGCCTGCCCCAGTTCCTCCAAGGCGCTGAGACTCTTCCTTGGGGGAAGGGTCTGTCGTTCCTGATCTTGGGGCGTGGGGGTGTGGAGGGGGGCGGTTTGACCTCAGTCCCAGGACAAGCTGGGGAGCTCAGAGCGCCCGTGTGTGGTTGGGTTCTGGACTCCCAGGCCCTATTCTGGCGTTTGTGTGGGGCTAGGGGACAGGTGCCTTTTCCCACCGTGGGTGGAGGAGAGACGGGCCAGCGCAGGGACCAGCTCAGCATGGGGGCGCAGAGCAGCAGGAAAGGAAGCAGGCACCTTCCCCTCCCGCACCCAGGCCTCGTCCTGACAGCTGCTGGATGCAGCCAAGCCTGATGGCCTGTGAACTTGCTCCGGTAGGTGGCAGTTCTTGCAGCCTAGAGGGACGGGAACGTCTCCACAGTGGCTTCCGTCACTCAAACTGCGGTGGGCTTACACTGAGGCCTATTCCGGGGGCCTCAGAGAGGATCCCCATCTGCGTCTTCCCCCCCCCACCCAACGCCACGCCGGCCCCTGCCACCCCCGTCTGCAAGGGGAGCGCTACTGGGAGAAAGTCACCACCCAAGCTTCAGCCCTTACATTGAACAGAAGCACCTGGACAGGTGAGCCACGTGCTCACCCCCCCTCCCATCCCCGCACCTGCCCGCACATGGGGGGTGGGGTCTCAGCGCACCTGGGGCCGCATGGGCTCTGCGCCTGCGCAGCAGAGAAGCACCACCCACAGGTCGCGCCCTCCTGTTTATTAGCCTCAGCTGAGCCTGGGCGCGGGTTCGCGTCCCAGCCGCGCCAGGTAAGGTTTGCCGCGTCCAGCAGCATCGCTCCCCGTCTCCTGCAACCGTAGGGCTGGAGGAGGAAGCGAGAGGCCACGCTGCCCACAGCAGGCCGGGGCAGGGCTGGCGGGTGTTCGGGCCGAGCCCCGCGCGCTCAGTCCTTCTCTTCCCCGTGGGTGATGATGTGCACCAGGTTCTTGTAGTCCAAGCTGCCCGTCACGTCAGGGGGGAAAGCGGCGAACATCTGGTCCACCTGCAAGCAGCCAGCCAGAGGCTGAGGGCATGGGGTGGGAGCGAGGGGCACGGGGATGTGTGTGTGTGTGTGTGTGTGTGTGTGTGTGTGGGTGTGCGTGTGTGTGCAGGGCAGCTCCAGGGTCTGCTTTGTTGGCATGGGGGTGAGCCCGACCCTTGCCCTGCCTCTCTCCCCAGCCTGACCCACTACTGCTTCTAAGCGAGACACACAGTCCTTCCTCACTGGGGCAGCCTGATGGGGCAGGGATGGGCATCGGCTCTGGAGAACCCTGTTCCTTCAGGGAAAGGGACCGTCACCGTCACTGTCCTCCCATTGTTCATCGATTTGCTCGAGTGGGCACCAGTAACGTCCCCATTGTGAGACTTGTTACTGTGTTTGGCATATCGAATACGCCACGGGGAGTTTGCCAGGCTTTGCTGTGTGGGCAGGATACTCTCAGTAGCTCGCCGGGCTCTCCGAGAGGGGCAGACGAATTGAACCCAGGTTGGCCGCGCGCAAGGCAAACGCCCGACCTGCTATGCTGTCACTCCAGCCCAGGAAAAGGGACATCTCAATTTAAAAAAAAAAATCATGCCATTTCCTCATTTTAAAAAGTATTGGTTGGTTGTCTTTGAAAATACAGACCGTATTGGGGTCTAGAGTGGGGAGGGCGTTTGCCTTGCACGTGGCTGACCTGGGTTCGATCCCCGACACCCCATAGAGCCCACTCAGCACTGGCAGGAGTGATCTTTGAGCACAGAGTCAGGAGTAAGTCCTGAGGGCAGCGGGCGTGCACAAAAATAAACACCCAGAGAAGAGCGTGCTGGCTGGGCACACTAATGCCTACAGAGGTGTGTGGCGGCGGGTGGGTGAGGCAGTGCTCTTCTGTCACTGCATCTCTCTACAGATGAGGAGATGGAATCCAAGCCGGCGGGAGGGCAAGGCAGGCTCTTTGCTTGAGATTTGGGGTAAACAATTGAGCTCAGGTGTCCCGTGAAGGAATCCTGAGAGGCCCCAAGGCCCGTCTGAAATAGCCGCGCTGAGGTGCGTGTTTTAAATAGCTGCATTGAGGGGCTGGAGAGACAGCACAGCGGGTAGGGCGTCTGCCTTGCACGCGGCCAACCTGGGTTCGATTCCCAGCATCCCATATGGTCCCCTGAGCGCTGCCCGGACTAATTCCTGAGTGCAGAGCCAGGAGTAACCCCTGTGCATCGCCGGGTGTGACCCAAAAAGCAATAAATAAATAAATAAATAAATAAATAGCTGCATTGAGGTGCATGAGGAACGTTAAGGAGCCGGCCCCTAGTTCCTGCACAGCCTCCTGGCATTGGCTGGACTTGCTCTTCCAACAAGACACGACTGCCCTCTGCTGGGAAACTATAGCAATGGCCCGAGAGCGTGTGCTCCTGGCCTGCTGGGGGTCCAAGGCCGCGTGCCGTGGTTCACCGTGGCTCCAGCCTTCCCACCTGCCCTGACCTGTGGGTCAGTGGCTGAAGACCGTATGAATGACCCAAGGCCCCAGGAGGATTGTGCAGGGCAAAGCCCGGGGGAGGGCCGGACGGGTGCAGGCCCCTCACTGAAGACTTTCCAGGCTCCCGTGTCCCCATCCAGAAAATGGCCACAGTGCTCATATCTGCCTGAGCAGGGCGGGGGAGTCGGAAGAGAGGAGGTCCTCCGTGGGGTCGGGGCGTTGGGGGCAGAGGAGGGGTCGGGGTCCTGAGGGGTGAGGTTGGGAGCGTGGGTGGCGCCAGGGGCCTGTTACCTCCTCCTTGGAGAATCGCTCGGCCTGTGTGGTCAGCATCTCCTGCACGCTGCAGACAGAGAAGCGGGAGTTGGGGTCCAGGGGGAGCGTGTGGGGAGGGGCCGGGACCCCGCGTCTCCCTCCAAAGCCACTTACTAGTCAGCCTTGAGCACTCCTTTGCCCTCAGGGTCGAACACTTTGAACGCGTTGAGAATAGTCTCCTCGGGGTCTGCCCCTGAAACAGAAGATGGGGGGGATGAGCCCTGGGTGCTGGGAGCCCCCTAAGCCCCCAGAGGCAGGAGCCAAGCCCCCCCAAGGTGGGAGGGGCCAGAGCAAGGCCAGGGGTTGGAAGAGGCTGACAATCTAGTTCTTTCTTTTCTTTTTTTAAAAGATTTTATTATTGGGGCTGGAGCGATAGCACAACGGGTAGGGCGTTTGCCTTGCACACAGCTGACCCGGGTTCGATTCCCAGCATCCCATAGGGTCCCCTGAGCACTGCCAGGAGTAATTCCTGAGTGCAGAGCCAAGAGTAACCCCTGTGCATCGCCAGGTGTGACCCCAAAAGAAAAAAAAGATCTTATTATTGACTCACTATAAGATAGACCCTTACAAAGCTGTCCATGACCAGGTTTCAGTCATACAGTGTTCCAACACCCATCCCTCCACCAGTGCACATTTCCTGTCACCAGTGTCCCCAGATTCCCTCCTACCACTCCCCACCCCCCAGCCTGCCTCTACAGCAGGAACTTTCACTCTCTCTCTCTCTCTCTCTCTCTCGCTCTCGCTCACTCGTTTTGGGCATTGTGGTTTGCAATACAGATACTGAAAGGTTATCCAGTATATTCCTTTACCTGCTTTTAATGCTCAGATCTTGTCCAGCGTGATCATTTCCAGCTATAATTGTCATCCTGGTCCCTTCTCTATCTTACCTGCCCTCTGCCTCCCCCCCCACACACACACACACTGGTGGTTGATTCCACCCATTGACCAGTCCGCCTAGCTCCTGTTTTCCCTGGCCATGGATATGTATTCTACTAATATTTTTTCTATACCACAAATGAATGCAATATCTACATCTATATATCAATCTGGTTATTTCTGAGTAAACCCAAGGTGGAACTTGGCTCTAGATCTGCAAAGCTTGGGTTGAGCCCTGACTCAGAGATGTCTGTATGTGGCCGCACCCGTGAACAATCTCTTGGTCCTGGTCAGGGGGAAGAATAGAAGCGGGGGCAGGGGGACCGCAGAGGCTGGCATAGGCTGGCAGCCCTTGGCCGGGAGCTCAGAGCCCCAGGGGGGTATCCCCGGTGACCCCGAGCCAGGCTGTCACGTTGAATTGTGTGGGGGAGGCTGGCCCCGGGCCCCTCAGCCCTTCTTGGGAGGCCCCACGACACAGAGCAAACCAGAACAACACTTCCCTCCTCAAGAGATGCAGTTAAATGAGGTGATTCAAATCAAGCGTTAGCACAGGGCGGGGCTTGGGAGATGTCCCACCAGCCCCTATCTGTTCTTCAGGCCCAAAGATGAATTCAGACATGCACACACATGCACACACAACACTCACCAACACACACACAAGCCCATGCACATGCACGCACAGAAATGTATGCACACATGCACTCCACACACACATGTACGCACACACATACAACACGAACACACACGTGCACATGCACAAGCACGTCCACATGCATGCACACACACCTACCCACACATGCACGCACACACGCTCACACACTCACGCGCAGACACGCACGCACACACGTGTGACATTTACTCGGGTTCCACGCGCACACATGCACACACGCACGTGATATTTACTCTTAGCTCCCACGGGCACGCATGCAGGCACACACACACGCACACGCGGCAGTTACCCTTCAGTTTCTCCCCGAACATCGTCAGGAACACAGTGAAGTTAATGGGCCCCGGAGCTTCCTTGATCATTTCATCAATCTCCTCATTCTTCACGTTCACTCGTCCTAGGGCAGAGAACACAGCTCAGGGCCCCGCCGTTCCCTGCAGGAGGCGCATCAGGGAAGGCAAGACGGGCCGCAGACTAGCCGAGGAATTCTGGATGGCTTGACTGCTCAGAAAACGGAGCAGGCCCTACAACTGCCGCGGGTGGGAGCACTTCTAACAGAGGCAGGGCCAGAGCGGCAGCGCAGGGCTGAGGCACCGGCCTTCATGCAGCTGACCCTGGCTTGGTCGCCGACACCCCCGTGGTTGCCTGAGCACTGCCAGGGGTCACCCTGAGCACAGGGGCAGGAGTACTCTCCAAACATTACCCAGTGTCACCCCAAACCCTCCTCTCCCACAAAATGAAAGTGGCCTCAGAATCTGGAATCTTTGGGGCACATGTTTTATTAAATGGGGAAATGTTCACGTGCTCAGTAGCCCTCCCTGGGCGAGCCGTTAGCACCGGCCTTCCTGAAGGGAGCAAGACCCGCTGCGGGGGTGCTGAAATATGATTCCGGGGGTGCAGCTGGGGGCACTTTCTGTGTCTTAAAGAACTTAGATCCTCAGGGGGTACTGAGTGATTTTTCCCCCCAGAAAATGGACAGTGGCCAATTAAAGTGTGGGGACCACAGAGCCTTAGGGCGGCTGAAGTGCCTGCAACTAGCCCCTGCCTCAAACCTCTGCCAATCAGAAAAAGCAGCCCCGAAGACAGCAGATATTTTAGTTGGACGCAGCTACAGTGGCCGCACACAGGACTGATGGCTCGTGGGTGGGCAGTGCCCGCGCCGCTGTCCATGGACCTGAGTTCGGGGATAGAATGGAAAAGGAACAGTGGAACAAGTTGGATATATTTTGAGAAAATTCCAGGCATCGAAGGGTTCGGTCACTAGATCCCTTATAAGGTGGTGTCCACTATAAAAACAACAGCGCTGGGGCTGGAGCGATAGCACAGTGGGGAGAGCATTTACCTTGCACGTGGCCGACCCGGGTTCGATTCTGAGCATCCCATATGGTCCCCCGAGCACTGCCAGGAGTAATTCCTGAGTGCAGAACCAGGAGGAACCCCTGTGCATCGCCAGGTATGACCCAAAAAGAAAAATAAAACCAGTGCCAGCCAGCAGCACATGCACCACAACCTCCCAAAAGAACACACGAGATGTTTCAAGTGGCCATTGGCCAAATGCTGCTTCATCCTTGACCCTTTTCTGGGCCTCTGAGTTTTCTGCTCACGAGCTGGTTTTGCGTTCGAAAGACACACATGAAAGTACTCTAAAGTGAAAATCGAAGGCGTGTGCAGGTACTTCTTTCCGAGAGCTTGTCTGAGGGTTAGAGGTCAACTGTCCAGCTGATTCTTGGGGGAAATGACAAACACTTCCCGAGGCCCCATCTGCTGCCCCTCGGGGCGCCCTCCCAAGAGATCATCCTGCAGCCAGGCAGGGCACCATACCGAGAGCAGCGAAGGTGTCCCTGAGGTCGTTCTTGTCGATGAAGCCATCCCTGTTCTGGTCCATGATGGTGAAGGCCTGCAAGGGACGGGGCTGGTCAGCGGGAAATTGGCCCGGGAGGCTGAGCAGTGAGATGTTGGCAGTGTCTAAGGTGCATTTCAAGGCCTTATGTTGTGGTTTGGGGGCCACCCCCTGTGGTGCTCCTGGCTTAGTTCTGGCTCTGTGCTCGGGGATCACTCCTAGCGGAGTTCTGGGACCCTATGAGGTGTGGAAGATGGCACCCAGGTGGCCGTGCGCAAGGCAAACGCCCTCTCCACTGCACTATTGCTCCGTCCCAATTGAAAGGCTATAGAGAAGGTTAAAATAATCTCAAAGTTCCTCAAAAGGTGAGGTATTCAGAAGCTGGAGTGATAGCACAGCGGGTAGGGCGTTTGCCTTGCAAGCGGCTGACCCGGGTTCGATTCCTAGCATCCCATATGGTCGCCCGAGCACCGCCAGGAGTAATTCCTGAGTTGCATGAGCCAGGATTAACCCTGTGCAATGCTGGACATGACCCAAAAAGCAAAAAAAAAAAAAAAAGTGAGGTGTTCAGGGCCGGAGCGATAGCACTACAGGGAGGGTGTTTGTACATAGCCGCGACACAGGTTCAATCCCCGGCATCCCATATGGTCCCCCGAGCACTGCCTTGAGTGATTCCTGAGCACAGAGCCAGGAGTAACCCCTGAGCACTACTGGGGTGTGACTCAAAAAAAAAAAAAGGCCATGCACGGAGGGGCAGGGGAGCACAGTGAGTGAGAGTGAGGCAGTCTGCGCTGCACACAGCCGGCCTGGGTATGCTCTCCAGGGCCCCGTAGCCTCAGATGTCACCTTCCCCCGAGCCCGCCATGTAGTGCGCAGTTCTGTTTCTGCAAATATCTCAGCAGGCACTGCGGTACTGCTCAGCTCTTGCTCAGGGTGGGGAGAAGGGTCCGGGGAGAGCCCCTGGGAGGCAGCGCTAGGGGGGTCGGCCATATAGTGCTCTGTGCTCAAGATGTGGGGATTGACCTGGGGTCGACTCCACCTCAGATGTGCTCCCACCCCCCGCCCCGTACCGTCTCTCCTGTTCCAGAACATTCTGAAAAGTGATCTGTCTACTGGGCTCCCACCTGCACCCAGTTGGGAGGAGAAGGACGTGTCGCCCAGGGTTCCTGCCGGCTCCAGGTGGGGGTGTCCTGGACCAGGGCCGCGCCAGACCCACCTCTTTGAATTCCTGGATCTGGGTCTGCTCGAACATGGAGAAGACGTTGGAGTTGGCGCCCTCTGCCCTCTTCTTGGCCTTCTTCGGAGCCTGCAGGTAGGGGTGTGTGTCAGGGGTCTACAGGGAGGTCCCGGTGAGTGCAGTGGGAACCCCAGCGGCTTTTTTTGTGAAATGAGTCCTTGCCGCCCCCCAAAAGATCACAAGTGTTTGGGGGTGTGGGAGGGGAGGAAGGGCGTGGAATAACCCTAGACCCGGGAACGAGATGACGGCCGTTGGGGCAGCGTCCTGCAGACTCGGACAGGGTGCTGGACCCACCCAGCACTTTCCTGCTGAGGCATTTTATGGAAAGCTGGGTAGAGCCCAGAGGGAGAATGGATTGTGGGCGGTGGGGATCCAGGCGGGAAACGAAGGACCCCCGGGCTCCAGCCTCCCCACCCCCCGACACACATTTCCCTCCCCCGGGCTGCCCTGAGCTCGGCGTCTCTCAGGGGGCTGCTAGTGCTCGTGGGGGCAGGGGGCACAGAGGGGAGGGAGCAGAGGGCAGGAGGGTGCTGGCACGTAGTGAACCCCGCCCCGCCATGGGTGATCCCTGAGTTCAGAACCAGGACTAAGCCCTGAGCATCACCAGGTGTGGCCCCCAACACGGCACAGCCAGCGGAAGTCTGCGGCATGACCCCGGAATCCGTCCTCCTCTCTGCTCCCCACCGACCCCCAGGTGGGGGGTTCCTGCTGTGGGTGGTGGAGGAGGGGTGGGGGGCGCCCAGCCTGACCAGCCAGCAACGGGGAGAAAGATTCTAAATTGCCAAGTTTAAAAGGTGAAAAACCCAAAGATCTCTTTCCCTTGTGCTCTCAGTGGAGGGGGAATCACGGCTCGATCCTTAAAAAAACGGTCGATCCCATTTGAAGCCCCCAGGGGCCATTGATCCCTGCAGGGTCAGTGGACGAGGCGGAAAAAGCCGACTTGGGCCTGCTGAGGCCCCGGCTGCTGGGGCGTGTGGCCCATCGGGGTGCTGCTGGGGCGTCCCTGTGCAAGTCCCCCGGGCCCCGGCTACTCACCATGGCAAAGACACGACTGTCCCCAGAGGATTCCCTGCCGGCCGTCTCCTGGCCCAGAACAATAAATACTTCCTCCCCGAGTTTAAAAATAATCCCATGACCACTTTTGGCAGTACTAGGTGAGCGACGCCACCTTGGCCCCCCCGCCCCCGCCCATGCCATTCTTCTGAAGTCAGGGCTGCTCCCCCTGTGACACGTGAGAGCCAGAGGCAGTCAAGGTTAAAGCGGGCAGCGGGTCACTGTCACCGGCAGCCGGGGCCGGCAGGTGGCACTTGTGCCTGTCGCCTTTGCAAAAGAAAAGCAGCAGAGGCGGCTTAGGCTTCTCTGACACCAGCTGGCCGGGCCTGCCTCAGGACCTTTGCACTGCTTCATGGCCCGCACCTTTCCCAGCAGACCTACAGGGCTCCCTGCTGCACCCCCACTTCCTGCAGGGCTTCGCTGAGCGGCCTCTCTCCAGGGAAAGCTGGACCTTCAGCCTCCATTCGCCACCCCCCACCCCACACACACTCTTCCCCATGTTCATTCGCTCTTCTCCAGAGCATCCACCTCACCCTGACTGCAATTCACTGATTCACACTGGCCCGGCCAGTGCAGGTTTGAGTGGGGCTTGCCACTCTTCTTTCTGTCCACAGGCCCCACATCTGTGGCTCTAGACACTCGTGGGCTCACCAGCCTCGGCGTGTGGGTGAGTGACTGCGAATGCAGAACCCGCGCCAAGAGACCCTTGGAGGGAGGCCTGCTGGTGCCTGGGGCTAGGTCCTGCTCCTTCCCTGGGGTCGCTCCTGCAGTGCCGAGGAAACCCCGGTGCTGGGGCTTAAGCCAGGGCGTCTCCCAGGCAGAGTCTGCACTCCCACCCACAAGCCAGCTCTACATTTGCACAAGCCATGTTTGCAGAGACACGTGTACATACATAGACACACACAGAGGCACCTTCTCCGCACGCACACCCCCTCTTGCAGTTGTGGATACAGACACACGCACACACACTCACGTATAGTTACGCACACACCCTTATGCACATGTGAGCACACAGCCATGCACACACAGGCATGTACACACTCACACACACGGACACACACATTCACACTCTTGTGCACATACTCATGTACACACATGCATACACTTATGCACACAAGGGCACACACATGAATACACTCATGCACACACATGCACTCCCATGCACAGACACAGGCACGCACCCTTATGCACACATGGACACACAGATGCACACATGCACACATGCAGACACTCATGCATATTTGGGCGTAATGCATGCACACTCATACACACATGCACACATGGGCACAAACATGCAGATACACATGCACACATGGACACACATGCACACACACTCATGCACATACCCTTATGCACACATGGACAAACACAGACGCACACGTAAGCACACATGCATGCACCCTCATGCATTTGTGCACAAGCCCACAGTCAGGTCAGGAGAAACTTTTCTACTCAAGGCTCCCTGACAACCCAAGAGCACGCGTTTCTCGAGCTGATCCGCACACATGGACTTTTGTTTCGGAGCCCTGCTGGTCGCCAGGAGCTGGAAATGGACGCATGAAAGGTTGTTGTAGCCCCAGCGGCTGAGGGGGGAGGAAGCATCCGATTAGGGTTTGGACGGGGTGGGGGAATGGATAGGTTCAGATGGGGCGTCTGATTCGGGTTCTGACGGGGTCATGGGCCCGCTGGAGGCAGGTGGGGTGGGGATCGTGTCTGGGAGGGTTCCCAGACCTTTGAAGATGGGTTGCTGGCAGGGAGAGCGGGGACCCTCTTAGTCTCTGAGTCCCCTCTCCTGGCCACAGTCTCCTTATCTGAAAGGTGGAGACCATAATCGCTCCCTCACACACAGTCTCACCCGATACACACATCTCACCTGACACACACCTGATACACGCAATCTCACCATGACACACACAGTCTCACCTGATACACACATCTCACCTGACACACACACACTATCTCACCAGAGACACACAGTCTCACCCGACACACACCTGATACACGCAATCTCACCATGACACACACAGTCTCACCTGATACACACAGCCTCACCTGACACACACAGTCTCACCCGACAATCTCACTTAATATAAGCCTCTCCTGAGGCTTATATGTGTTGGGTGAGATTGTGTGTATCAGGTGAGGCTGTGTGTCGGGTGAGACTGTGTGTGTCAGGTGAGATTGTGTGTGTGTCGGATGAGACTGTGTGTCCCTGGTGAGACTGTGTGTGTGTGTCAGGTGAGATGTATGTCTGGTGAGATTGTGTATGTGTCGGGTGAGACTGTGTGTCTCTGGTGAGATAATGTGTGTGTGTCGGGTGAGATGTGTGTCTGGTGAGATTGAGTGTGTGTCGGGTGAGACTGTGTGTCTCTGGTGAGATTGTGTGTGTTGGGTGAGATGTTTGTCTCTAGTGAGATTGGGTGTGTGTGTTGTGAGACTGTGTGTCTCTAGTGAGATTGTGTGTGTGTGTGTGTGCGTGTGTCGGGTGAGGTTGTGGTCGGGTCTTCTGGGGCCTGAGTGTACAAAGAGCCACATGGTGCCGGGCCAGGGGTGCAGGTGCAGAGGAGGGCTCCCATTTTACCAGGGTTGGGTGTCCCCGAGCTCAGGGACGAAGCCTGGGATGACTGGGATCTGGAGGGGGCGTGTCTCAGGCGTGCGCTTCCGGGGGGTGGGGGGGCTCAGGTCTTCCTGTCAGGAGCCTCAGGCCCAGCCCTGGAGCTCCTTCGGCTCTGTCCAGGAAGAACAGCCCAGTCCCACGGAGCAGAAGGAACAAGAACTGGCCACCCAGGGTCAGTCAGGGCCCGAGGGAATTCTAGGCACAGCCGTCAGAATAGGAACTTCCAGAACATTCAGCAGCCCCAGGTGCTGTTTGCTCTTTGCAGCCGTAGAATGTTCCAGTTGGTGCATGACCTGTGCTCAGATCCAAGCCGAGCACTGTGGGGCAACCTGGGTGGGCCCAAGCCACTGGGTGTGGCCCCTACAGAAGCATAAATGCCCTGCCACCGTCCCAGAGGCCTGCATCGGTGGGCTCTATGACACGGGGGTCTTCACAGCTGCAATTCTGATCTTGACCCGGGGGCCACGCCTCCCCTGTGGGACCTGGCAGGGACCCCAGACGGGAGGCTGAGGTTGGAGCCAGGACCCCCTTCTAGGAAAACGGGCAGAGGGGAGCTGCTGACGGCTGCAGGGTAGCGGGGAGTCACATTCAGACAACAAGGAAATTTACGTGTGTGGAAAGTCATGGAACGCTATACCAAAAAAAAGAGTCAATTTTATTGAGTGGCAATAAAAAAATAAAAAATAAAAACCCACCGCTGACAATTTGAAAGGAGGAAGGAGAAGGGAGAACGCAAGGAGAACGTAGAGATCTGTGCTGTTTTGAAGCAGGAATGATTTGCGCCCCAAACGCAAAGGGCATGAATCAGCATCTGCTGGACGCCCCGTGTGCCGGTCCTCAGACAGACCGCGCCAGGTCAGGGGACTGTTCGGGTGACAAACAACAAAGCTCACACCCAACAATGGTCGGACTCTGGGTTCGACAGCAACCAGGCACGATAATCTATTCTGAAAATGGAGGAGAGTACTGTTAGCATTTTTCTTTGGTTTGGGGCCATGCGCAGTAGTGTCTATCTAGGAGCTTCTCCTGGCTTGGTCCTCAGGGGTCCCCCGCGAGGTGCTTAGGGACCCTCTGGCACTGGTGATGGAACCCGAGGCTGCTGCATGCATACCTGAGCGATCGCGATGGCCCCCGTGTTCCCCCTTTTCTTTCTTCTCCACCCCTGTCCCCCTTAAGCTCAAGTAAGTATTGATTTATGTCAGAAAACAAAAACAAAAACTAAAGAAAGCATGTAGAGAAATTCAAGCGAAACCCCAGCTGACTTCCTGGAGCTTTAAGACATGATTTTTGAACTGGAAATGAAAGGAGATGAATTGCCCGGGAAAGCTGCTGGCCACTGCAACCATGAGTGGTGCCCGGCTCGGGACGTGCAGGACGTCAGAGCCTCCCGGGGAAGCTGCAGGAACTGCTCCTTCCTGAGAGAGAGGTCAGGGCCGCGGGGACACGAGGAACTTCCCTTCGGTCCCGGGGAGCTGTGGATGGGCACCTGCTTCCGGCACAAGACCTTGAGTTTGAGGCCCGGCTTACCTCACACGCTGATGCCGCAACCAAGGGCCGGCCGCCCCTGTAAGCCCCCCAAGAGGGAAGTAGGGGGTTTCCGTTCACTGAAAAAACAACAACAACAGTAACAAAGGTCTGTGAATTGGAAGGATTCAGGAAGTCCAGGCGGAGGAGCAGGGAGAGAACGTTCATTAGGGTATATCCTGGCAGAACTTTCTGGCTCCCAGGAAAGAGAAGAGACTTCCTGGAAGAAAGAATTCGCCCTTGAGTGTCCCTGAGGTGGCTGAGTGTGGCCGCCCAGGGCTCGGGGAACGACGAAGTAAAGCTTGACCCCAGCCAGCTGTGTGACCCTGCGCAGGACTTTTCCCCCATCTGAGCCTCAGTTTCCTCATCTGTAGAGTGGGCGTAATGGCAGCCCTCACCTCACCAGGTCATCCTGAGGATGGGAGCACTTCAGACAGCCCCGGGAGCACTGACGCTGTGAGAGCTGGTCTCTGGGGTGGTAGGTGAGGACGGTGCTTGTGGTTTGGGGTGAAGCCTGCCAACGTGTCTTATCAGTCCTGGGACCCCGTGAGTCAGCTCCCCTGCGAGGTGTCCACGCGATGCCTTTGACTCGCTGGTGGGACCAGGGCATCCATGCCAGCACGCCCCAGGCAGCCCCACCACCAGCCGCCAACTCCCTGTGCCCTCTGGCACCGGGCTGGCTCTGCCGTGGAAACGTCCCAAAGCCCTTGGAAACCTTTTCTAACGATAACGTTCTAATTTTGGCATTTAGAGAAAATGTGCCGAATTCCCACGGAGACTTCGCCCGGCTTCCCCTCGGCGGCTGTGGACCGGAGCCAGGCTCAGAAACAGAACTGCAGACGCCAGTGGCCGGGTCGGGTCTTCCTGCATTCCCCGACCTAGGATCGAACCCGGAGTCCACGCTGGATTCCAGCCCCCTCCCTCAGCCCCTGCCCCCCC